TCAAGTGTAGACAGACTTTTAGCGCAGCAGGGTGCCGCACGACAACTGTCGCGTCCGGTGTAGACACGGTCAGACAGTGTCTGCTCTATTACAAATAATTTATATATTTTTTTAAAAATACCTAAAACAGCGGCATTACAAGATATACTATACTAAATATGGACTACAAAATATATTTACACTGGCTCTGTCCTACGTCCATGACACTGACTCACTGCGGAGTTGCCAGTTTTAATCTTAACAGCTCTTAACGCCGAATGTGCACTTGGATGGTTAGATACATGATGGGCTAGTATAAAAAAATAAAATAACTTAAGGTCTTTCCAGCATTAAGGTAATCCTGCTTTTTTTTTTAAATAATCTTGTCTCAGTTACAAATTTGACTGGTAAATGATAAAGAATGATAGCCCCTTTTGTATTGCATTGCATATGATAGATTGATAAAAAGACATGCTATTTATGACTGGATGTAACTTTTGATACTTTGCGGTAAAAGTGGCTCTCCGATTGACTTTGCCCTATCAGTGCGGCTCCCATGAAAAAAATAGTGAAGACCACTGGTTTAGAGCATATGCTGAGGTAGATTTTTATTATTATTTTTTTTTTGTAATTATAATTGAATTTATTTAAAGAAATAGCTATTTCTTTAGTAAACCACTGTTTAATAAAAAAAAAAAAATTATTAAACTTTTTTTAATTCTGACAATTATTTAAAAAGTAACATTGTAAAATATAATGGCCAATCAAAAAGCATGTGTTTAAACTCTATAGATTGCAGTTTACCTTCGTAAGATCCGATCTCCAACAGTGTCCCACTCTGTTCAAGCTTCAGAAACTCGTCCACTGACAAGAAATTATAATCTACTCCCGGCACCTCTCCGTCACGAGGGAGGCGGGTCGTACCTGTGACCAGCAAAAAAGGAGAAAGATCCCATAAGAGACTGACATCATGAAACTGCTAATTTATACTTAAAACCACATATACACAATGTCTATGATTACCACCTACATCAGGGCCAACAACAGCCACATGCTACAGTCTACAGGCTCCTGGAAGCCAAACGCTGGGTGTGAAATCAGTGTGAGAGAGCTTTGCACAGCTAAAAGTGAAGATGTTGTAACACCTTGATGATAATTGGTTGTAGGAGAGCAAAGTGTGGCTCCAACCCCCACTGTATTGCTCTAACTACATATTAGATTAAAGCAGCTTTAGGGATCAAAGAGTCCATACGGCTGCTCTGCCTCCTCTATCACATTCCCTTACACCCCGTTTAGACCTGGTATTAAAATCCATTTCAGGCGATCCCATCACAAATGGTCAGTACTAAATACTGGTGTAAATAGGGTTCAAATACAACGGTAAAAGACCGGCTACTGACCTGTCAATCAACCAACCAACCATGCACTTAACGGTTTTAAATGATAAATGGAACTTTGAAACGTGTGCCAAGATCTTCAAAATATACTTTTTTTGTATTCATGTAGGTTTCATTTGGTTTAAAAGCATATGATTTCTACTATACTTCAAAAAAATGTTTCAATTTAATGACTCTAAAAATGTCATGAATAAAATAAAAAGTAATAACATTTTCCATACCCTTGAATACACGAGTTTACACATCTTATATATAAATATATATATTTTTTTGTTGTTGTTGTTTTTTTGTTTTTTTGCAAATATCATGAGTTTTTGGGGAGCTGCAACATGACATTTTACAACCTTATATTTTTATAAGGTCAAATTATCTGGCATTTTAAAACAAGTTTTGTATATTTTTAAGGAAAATAAAACATTAATAATAAAAGTTTATTAATATTAATACTTGACACAACTTGAGATTTTATTTTAAAGAATTTAATTCCATTAATTGAATAAAATAATTTTTTCTTTACTATATCAAAACAATTGTATGACCCTGACATTTTTAAATTCATACACCAATATATATATATATATATATATATATATAGCAATAGATTTATTCAACATATTTTTTTAATAAATTAATAGGCAGTACAAAAAAAGAGCGTAAATTACCCTAATACCAGTAAACAAGGCCTCATGTATTTCCTTTTTTTCCTTTCTTTCTCCACACATTTTATTTACATGGACTCTGATAACCCAAGAGCATGTTTATTAGACACCATAATCGATCATGACATCATCCACGCACACAACACTCGTACAAATGTGAAGTGCATTTGCCCCTTGCGTTGTACCCATAATCAATATCTCAGCTGTCATAAATCCTGTCAACACAATCGTATTTATTTGCACTTGGACACTGGGGTCTTCTGCAGCTATTTGTGATGCTGAAGGTTAAGACGGTGGCCTGGCAGTCACCGCATGTTTCACGCGCTTGTCCCGCTGTGTGCTGTATCTCCCCATCACTTGATGGAGCTGATGAATAGCTGATATAAATAACACCCCACGATGGGAGATGCTCTTTGGCAGCTATCTTAGTGACACTGGTGATAAATCAAAGATGTGATGATAACTCTGTTTTCTCAACAACCTCACAATGTAATATTCTCTTTGGTTTACAGGCCCTCTCGACTAGTGTACAACACAAGCCCCAAAATGGATGCTGTGCAAAGCTTGTGTGTCACTTTTAATGGGACTCAGGTCTTTTTAGCTGTTACATTTTGATGTAAACCTCTGTGAAAAGCTTACGTTTTACAAGAGCACAACAATTCTGAGATAATTCTTGGTTTCTCAAAAACAGAAAACAGCCACTACTGTTCAAAAATTTGGGGTCAGTAAGACTGTTTTAAAAAAGAAATACTTTTATTCAGCAATGATGCATTAAAATTGATCAAAAGTGACAGTAAATACATATAATTTTACAAAATATTTTTTCAAAATAAATGCTTTTCTTCTGAACTTTCTATTCATCAAATAAGCGTGAAAAAATGTATTATGAGTTCTACAACAATATTAAGCAGCACAATTGTTTTCAACATTGATAATAATAAGAAATGCTTCTTCAGCAGCATATTAGAATGATTTCTGGAGGATCATGTGACACTGAAGTCTGGAGTAATGATGCTGAAAATTCAGTTTTGCATAACGGGAATAAATGACATTTTAAAATATATTCAAAGAGAAAACATATCTCTTAAATTGTAAAATTATTTCACAATATTACCGTTTTTACTGTATTTTTGATCAAATGAATGTAGCCTTGGTGAATATAAGAGACTTCAAAAACATTTTTTAAAAGTACCGACTGCAAACTTTTGAATGGTAGTGTATATGTTAATGCTGGCATTGATCTAATAAGTCTAACGTTGAAAATTTCAAAATATCTTAATATATACCCTCAACTTGGGCCAAATTGCTCTATATTTCTTGGAAAAAACAATACTACAATATAGTCCCTTGTCTTCCACAGACAAACAGAAGATGCTATTGGTCAAGCCAGAAGTTGACAGACAACTCGGCCTGCTCAAACAAAAGAGAAATGTTTTGAAAGCAACACAGAGATGTGAATATTCTTTTTGAAGAAGACAACCAACAAATGGTTTACTTATAGCTTTAGATGCTCAAGAAGCATTACACATCGCCTCCATGTTATGACTCAATGACAGTATCAGTGGTATATTTTTCACCTTCACCTCACTAACTGAATCATGCAATAATGCACCCTAGTTCTGCTCCTATGAACAATAAATAGAAAACAAAGCACTTAGGTACATTTATAGTATACACTTTACACAACATGCACAAATGTGAACCAATGTCACTACTGCAAGTAGAAAAATATATCCACAAATATATAAATAGCATAACTGTCACATGATGATATATTTTCTTGTTACTAGGGACAACCCTTGAAGGATACAATCCCCGAGAGCCTCATCTATCATTTCTGAGGGGATCAAACCATTTCATATCACACACTATGCCACACAGTGAAAATCGTGTGTAAAACAACAGCCTCAAAAATTAACATTGTGAGGCAAGCACCTGTATGAACTTTTATATCAGGCATGCAATAGGCTTGCATTTACTAAATAGCTTTTATTGTTAGGTATTATATGAACTTTGAGTCACTGATGTATTTTAGCAAATTATTATTTATAGATTTTTTTTTTAAAAGAAGATATTTTGAAGAATGTTGGTAACCAAACATTTGGTTATCACTGACTTCCACTGTGTGAAGAAAAAAAAACTCAAAATATTTAGTTTGGTACCTCAAATCCATGACTTTTCCACAACTTTTTCAGTCATTTGTGATAACTGCATAAGGACTTTTGATTCGGATCGATTTGCTAACGAATCATTCTAATAAAACCGACAAATTTATTGGAAAAATAAAAATCTACTCTTGTGGAAATCATAATACATTTTTTCCAGGATTCTTGAATGAATAGAAAGTTTAAAAGAACCGTGATTATTTGTAACAGAAACTTTTGCAAAGACTTTTGTCTATGATTTTCAGAAATGTCCATGATTTTCCCTACAATTTAAAGCCTATTCATTTCCATGACTTAAAAAACACAATGTAAAATTGCTTGATATTTACAGCTTTCCCATGACTATTCAATTCTGAATGACCTTAAATATCGCTGGGTGTGCATGTGACATAAGCACACTGTGCTTAGCAAGAGTAGATTACACTACATGCAGAATACAGTACACTTCTCTTTACAGACATTTTTAAACAAAGAAGTCAACATAATCAGTTTTGATTCTGCTGTTAATATACTTATGCTAGAACACTGAAAGCTCACTGGGCGCCCAAGTGCTAAATGGACCAAAGGTGAGGAGCAGTGACAACAAGCATCACAATCTGCAGCTGTTCGATCCCAGCCTACACACACTCATCAGTTGTGGGTCAGCGACCGTGAACAGAAGGGGTTACTGTCACCAAATGGCATGATCCAGGGCCCAAAAGAGAAACAATTACCTAATGGGGGTTTACAACCCTCTGCTAAATGATAACCCCCTCACTGACACACATGCATCACAGGCTGTAGCTGCTACCATATTGGCTGCTTGCTGTATTTTCCAAGCAGTGAAGTGTATGTGTATGTGCGGCTGGAGACATTCTCTCTCCGGAAAAGAACAGTGGTGCTTCACAATGAATCAGCATCAGGAGTTCCCACAGTTCAGCCTGGGAACATGCAACACGTCCATACATACGCACACTCACACACACTCAAATATAACTTCAAACTATATTGGTATATTATGCGTAATGTGGACAGTGCTTTTAATGGAAGTAATTTTCCATCTCAGAGTAAAAAAAAATAAAAAATAGTAATTGTGAATTTGTATGGAAGCTTGTTTATACCAAAGAACAAAAAAAGTAAATAAGTAACAACTCAGACAATTCTGAGATTAGCTATATATCTCACAATTCTGACTCATAATTCAAAATAGTGAGATATGAACTCAGAATTATGAGATACAAATTTAGGATTGAGAGTTATAAACTCAGAACTGTGAATTCTGAATTACGTCTTGCAGTTCTTGACTTTTTTTCTCAGAATTGCAAGATGTTTATCATTTGCAATCACAAGATACAAACGTGCAATTCTAAGAAGAAATGTCCAAATTGTGACACATAAACTTCCAATTTGTGATAAAAAGTCAGAATTGTGAAGAAAACACAGTTGTGAGGATTACCTTATTTATTTATTTTCGTGGCGGAAACAAAAAAAAAACTATAGCGACATGTAAACTCAGGATTGTGAGAAAAAAAGTTACACACACATACACACTTAGAATTGTGAGATGTACATTCAAAAATTGCAAGAATTTACTGAGTTTACATCTCGCAATTTAAATCTCTCAATTTAGACATTTTCTGCAAACTTTATTCTCACAACTGGAATTGTGAGATAGAGTCACAATTACCTTTTTTACGTTTTTATTCCGTGGCGAAAACGGGTGT